GTTTTTGTGGTGCGACTTTCGACCTACGTCACAGTCAATGTCAAGATAACGAAGTACAAGATATTGTACAGCGCCTCGCATTATCCGGTTCGACAGACATTTTACGGCGACTGCGTCGAGCATACCGAGTGGAAAATGGCCTACTCTGTCACAGAAATCCCGGTCAACAACAATGGCTACCGGTGATTCCAGCTTCTCTGAGGGCTACCATGTTGAATCTCTGCCATGATGGCCCCACAGCGGGTCACCTCGGTCGAGATAAGACTCTGGCCAAACTTTCCGAACGCTATTGGTGGCACGGATTCCGGAAAGATGTTTCCAGGTATGTCGCTTCCTGTGAATCATGTCAAAGGAGAAAATTGCCCAGTATTTCACCTTTCACAGAGATTCATCCAACTCAACCACCGCAAGCTGCTTTCGAACTTATTGGACTTGATCATTTAGGACCATTTCCGAAATCACAAAAGGGTAACCGTTTCATTATTGTTGCTGTTGACCACCTTACAAAGTGGATTGAGCTACGTGCCGTGCCTACAACGTCAGCGAATCACATTGTGGAGTTTTTACGTGAGCAAATAGTACTTCGCCACGGCGTACCCCGCACCGTACTCACTGACCGGGGAACTCCATTCAGCTCTCGTATTTTTAAACACGAGATGGTAACTCATGGAATACACCACGCCCAGTCAGCACCCTACCATCCCCAAACCAACGGACTCGTTGAGCGTGCTAATTGAACTATCGCCGATATATTGTACGCTTATGTTAATGCTTCGCATGACAATTGGGATGTGTACGTACCATACGCATCGTTTGCTTTGAACACGTCGCAACAAGCAAGTACCACGACGACCCCTTTTAAACTGGTGTACGGTAGAACTCCGGTTCTGCCGCAGGAATCAACGTTATCCACCACGTGGAACCATAGAAGGCAAGAAATGAGCGATCATTTTGAGGACAGACTCAATGAGGCTCGCCGCCGGGCTCGCGTCGCAATAACCAGAGCCCAGCAGCGGATGCTAACCAATCACCGGCAGGATGACCGATTGTCCCCCATCGTGCCAGGGGACCTTGTTCTTGTACGCCGTCCCGTTAGATGGAAAGGAAAGGCAACCAAGCTACTTCCAAAATACAAAGGACCCTGTGAAGTGCTTCGACAAACAGGACCCGTGAGCTACCGGCTACGAGACCTCAATGCATCTCGAGAAGCATCCCGGACTTTCCCGGCTCACCCCAGTCAACTGAAGCTGTACGTGTCAAGACATACATTCAGTCAAGACCAGCATAGGACACAGACTGCCGAGGACGGACAGTCAACCAGGAGGGGGCAAAATGTGACAGTAGGACATTGAGGTGCAACGAGCGGGACAAAAAGGAGAAAAGGGAGAAGAAGTGGGTCGGAGACGGGCGAAGGACGAAGTGGCAGCAGCGAAAAAAAAGCGATCTGTAACAATATATATATATATATATAATGTGTGTGTGTGTGTGTTTGTGTGTGCGCGCGCGTATGTGTGTTGTGTTTTTGTCGTAATATTTTGATACACACACACACATATATATATATATATATGTATATATATGTGTGTGTGTGTGTGTGTGTGTGTGTGTTTTGTAATATTTTGATCTTTTAGTTTTTACAACCATCTGGCGTTTTTGATGTGTTCTAGTAATTTTATTTCGCCTTTTTGTAAGTTGTTTTGCTTACATCATGGGTGCTGCGAAATATGTAGTGAGGGTGTATTTATGATTACTTTCACTACGGATGTTTAACTCTTAGTCAGAAATATCTATGAAAACCTAATCATTAGCTAAGGTTAGATCAATAAAACTATTGCCAGTTGTTGAGGTATAAGTTGGACCTTGAGAAATCTTATTTAATATAAAAAGTGAATGATTTATTGCGAATTGGGCGAGGATATCTCCTGAACTATCTGAGGATCCTCCCCCCATGCCTGTTGTTCTGCGTTGAAATCCCCCACAATGGCTGTAGGTAGATTGTCACGTGTTATGAGGATCTCTTCTATTGTGTGCGGTATGTTTGAAATATCTTCTCTTGGACACTCATATGAATTAATATTTCTTATTTTTGTTGTTTTCGTTGTTATTGTGAGTGAATTATATCCCGGGTTATCGTTTCAGCAAAAGCTCCAATTCCTTGTCCCGTACAATCATCGCTGCGCGTGGTTGTTTAGTGTATTGTATAATGTGGTCTGTCAAAGAATATCTGATTATTTTATTTTCAACACAATAGGGGTCTTGAATTTTGTCAACACAATAGGTTGAATTTTGTCTATGGTAATTTTTAGAAGTTCTGTGGCTGAAAATGACTCATTCGTGTTAATTTGTAAAACTTTGAACGTTGCATCAATGTTTAGATAGGAAGAGTCCTCTTCTTTTTTCTTGTTTTTATTGGTATGCGATTTTTATTTGCAACCTCTCCACTTGGGTGAGGTAGCATGGGCGCTGTTGCAAGAGTGCCCAACGTGTAATGTTTCCCTTTGCAAAAGTGGCATGATCCCTACAACTTATGCATCTCTTTATTTGTTCTTGACAGATCTCCCCCAGATGGTCTCTGTTATAATTGTGGCATCGAGGAGATGCAGTGCAGCGTGCCAGCAAGTGACCAAATCGGCAGTATCTTTTTGCAAATCGTGATATAGGAGTTTTCCTCAAAAAAGACATGAGGTCCAATCAGGGAAGACCCTCCCTTTCTTCTGCAGCTCCCTAAACATCTTCGGGCTGAGCTCGAAGATAACTATGGCGAACTTGTCGCGGTTTGCCGACGTCCGCACAATCTGCATCTCCTCGGTGGTTCCTGTCAATTTGTTTTAATTTATCAGTCTTCCTTTTAGTTGTTCAGGATCAGTTGTAGCAATCTCCCTAACCCTAACTTAAAAGTTTCGTATGAAAGTTTTTTTTTTTTTTTGCATCTGTAGTTTTTTATTAATTGTTTTTTCCACGTTGGAGATTTCTTCCTTGGAAGTATTCGAAATCAGTGCTCCTCCCTTAATGATTTGAAACTCGGGAGCGGTAACGGTTAACTTTTCAGGAAGGACCGCCGATCTCAGAGTGGAGATTACTTGTAGCAATTCTTTCCCCTTCTGCAGTTCTTTTGTGAAGAACAGAAGTGCTGCCTTTTCTGGCTCGCATCTTTTGTCTTCAGGTGTTGTGAGCTTTATTAGTTTTGTTAATTTGCAAGTTTATCTTTGATTAATGTTCTTTGTCACATCAGCATAGCTGCGAGACGGCTGGAGAGCCCGCTCATTCAGCCTCCCCTGCAAGTATGCAATACGTTCAATTAGATCGATGACAATGTTAGTTAAGTTTTGAAAGCTCAGTGCCGGAGCATTGGTTTGTTCCTTGGTCATTAGGGCTGCAAGATAAGTGACAGCATTTGCATATTGCATCTGTGCCGTCCCCGGTTTGTCCCGGACCGACTCTAAAAGGACACCCGTGGAGGCACCCGCGGAAGCCCCAGCGGGTACGCCCGCAGCTTCCCCCTAAGCACATTAGATGGGGCCGGCTCAGGTTGTGTGGTCACCATTGGTTCATCTGGTTTTCTTGTTTTGTCATTAGTGTTTGTCTTTTCCAATTCATCTTCTTGCGCCTTTTCTTTTTTTTTTTTTTTTCTGGTCATTCGCCCTCGCGGCTCTCTTCTTCTCCTTTTTCCTTTTCCGTCGTTGAGTCCCCATGGAGTCTGCTGTGTGCTCGGAAGAGCTGTTTTCTTCTTGTTGTGTAGTCGTCTTAGTGGGGACCTCGAGTTAGGTCTGGATGTTGTCATGTCGAAGGCTAAGCAGTCATTGCACTTCTTAATTCTGAAGGTATTCAAATGCACGTGTCTAAATATAATCACTGCGACGTATGTGTACGTTGCGACGATCTTAGTGGTATCTTTAATAATTGTTAATAGTTTCAAAGTCGAGCAACACAATTTTTCTGGTTTCTTTACCCGCGCGTGGTTGGAAGTGCTACAGCTCTTATAGAAGCTGGGAGAACACTCGCGCGGGTGTCTGCTACTTTTCGGTTAGTCAGGAAAGAAATATAATAAATTTGCTAGTAACCCATTGTACGCTGTAAGCGATAGTGGGTTAGACAGTGCGAGGTTCTTATACTGCTAGCCCATTGTAGTTTGGTGTTATAGATTTCTTAAATGGGCTTGTTTTCCCTCCCACTACCTATTCAAGATGGCTGTTCGGAACCCACTTGGGTTTATCAGTCTTTTAGATTAATTTAGGTCTTCTATTAAGCTATATTTAGTATCAAACTGATCGCTACGACTTTCGGAATCTAATCGAATACATGGAATATCTCAGAGAAGTTTATGAGTAGAGAAATAACCGGAACAATACAGCGTACTGTTCGATAATCTAGGTGGGATTGTCTTCTTCCTCCTCTTTCTACACAAGCAGACAGTCATTTGAGGAAGCCAGTAAGATAGAGACATAGACAGCTAGCCTTTGCACCTACCTACTAATCCTTTTTATCAGAGCTCGGCTCTCTGACGTCGCAGCGCGCCCTTATTTCCTCCTCTACTTCAGTTGCTCTCCCTATACAAAAATGTCGCCGTAAGCTAGGTGCATAAAATCAGATGGGTAACTTTGTTCACTTTTAAAAGGATGAAGCTTGTGAAGGAAAATAGTTTTGAAACTAAAATAAAAAGAAATGGGTGCTTTCAATCCATTCCTTTGGGCAGCCTGTCTAAGACTTGCCTTGCCACTTGACTTTAAACAGTGATGTCTAATGTCGTCACGACATTATGCGAAGCGCAATTTTGTCTGCTTCTTGCTCAGGAGTTGCGATGATGCCAAAACTCCGAGCTCTTAATGGCTGATTGATAAAGAACAGTGCGTAGATATTGAGATCTACCCACTATTCCTTCAATGAGAGCCAATCAGAGCTCGCCGTCGTTCTGACGTCACCACAACCTCGCAAAAGAAGCAGACGACTTTCTCTCCGCATAAACATGCTCTGAAAGCGAACACCCTGTTATCATTGCGCAGATTCTTAAAGAAACATCAAGACGTCATCTTGGCTGGGAAAGAAGATGCCCAAGTCTTTGTGCCACTGTGCGGGAAAGCTGTAGAATTGAAATGGTGAGTGTATGCCGTTGAATTCCGGTGCTCCACCCAGAACCAAACAAACCTTTTATGGTCGTACGCTCTTGTAGGAAAGGTATGTACAGAAGGCAGCATTATATGTGTTTAAGGTCGTGAATACATGTGTGTTGGATTAACAAAGGGCATAACAAAATTTTGATTTTAAACATTGAACCATAAACTGTGTCAAAAAGGTAGATAAGCACTTACGCAGCTTTTTTTAGGTGGGTTAAATAACGGACAAATTAGACGTTAGAAGTTCAGTTCACACGTTTGCGTTTGGGTGCGACCGAGCGCGTTGTAACCGCTTAGCGACCGCTTAAGACGAGAGGAAAACACAATGACACCATCTAACGGGCAACACTTTCTGATCCGCGTCCTAGCTTTTTTTATGCGTCATTTTTCACCATGGGCTTGAAATGATTCTGAAGATGATATAACCGAGCATTTGAGGAAACATACCCAGATCGAAAGCGTTCTTCGGCTGTCGATGAATGGCGCAAGTGTGCTCTCTCGCCCTCTCGTCGTAGGCGAGAGGACGAGAGAGCACAAGCGGTTGCCACGCAGTCGGTCACAGTAAAACGCAAACGTCTCAACAAACCAGGTTACTAGAGACACTCTGAATATGCGCCTAGAATGAAGAACAAAATGGATCCTTTGTTTCCAGCTCGTGAGATCTGTTCCAGCTTTGTTTCAGCAAAGCGATTTCTAGAGTGAAAATTCGCGTCAAGAATATATGAAGGCACCGGTTTAAACAGAATTAGCTGCGAGATGTTTTGGTGGCGCCCTCCTATGGTTCCCTGTCGTGACGTCATTATCATGCGAACAACGGTTTCAATGGTGTTTGTAATTAGCATGGTGAAAGCTTTAAATCATTGCACTCTCCAAGCAACTCTGCCAATACCGTAAAAATTCAAGCTTTTCCATTTCTCTTATTTCCGTCGATGCGAAATCCTTTGCTGACGTCATAGTCAACATTCGGCCATTCGTGGCAGGCCGACCACAGCAACGCTTTATATTGCGCGTTGAGCGTACAAGATGTTAAGTAAGTGACACTGAACGGCCTCTTCTGCGCCACCGCACGCTGGTTTACACGAGGTCATCTAGCACATGCCTGCTTGCCAGCCGATCGGGTAGGTGGCGACTCTGTCGATTTGTATGCTGTGCATTTTTACATATATCGCTTCAGTGTGTTGGTGCTTGTTGCATTTCCTTTATTTTTTCAGCGTTCTCGTTGGCTCTAAAACAAGGTTGTTGACACGTAATGACTAGACGCTAAAATATGCGTTCAGAATTCGCACCTTAAAAACTAATATTTTTATATTTCCTAACAAGAAGATGCGCATAGGACTCGCAAAAAACCTGCGCTCTTAAAGTTTCATCACTGCGTAACAAACATGTTTCCGCGCTGGGATGTTAAACGGCACAACCTAAAAAGCTAATATATGAACCAACCAAAAATCGCGGGAAATTCGACCTTTTTTGTTTTACCGCCTGCGTTTCCTCTGCTGTCCAGGTTTTTTTGCGCCGTTGCCACCTATAATGAATTAACTCACCCTAAAGCATCACACAAGAAAAGAAATGAATGAGCTCCATTATCTAAGAAAAGTCACAAAATTTAGATCCACTGAAACGATATTATAACCCTATAAGACATCATTAGTTCGTCCAAAGCTCGAGTACGTCATATGGTGTTCACACAGTCCTTAAAGTATTGAAAACAAATAAAGTAGGCATGTGACTTCCCCGATGAACTCTGCAGACCGTTAGAACGTCTACCCCTGGGAAAAAGGACACAAATTGCAAGGCTCCAGTTTTTATATTAATTAGCATACAACAGCTTCAGTATTCTGCAAGAAAAGTATTTAATTTATTCTAGTAAACGATTGACATAAGGTATAACCACGGCAAACGTTTGAAGAGTACCAATTTCACAATAATTGATTTACTTTTTTTTTCTTCCTTCGAGACATTTATGAGTGGAAACATTTGCCGTGATACGTCCTACATTTTACTATCCCAGCTTCACATTTTGGTCAACTTAAAAGTACGCCTGTCGACATATAATAACGCATAACTGTCATCGACTGTTAATTCCTCGATAATTTTGTATTCTGTTCATTTTGTATTGTACCACACTTATTAAGCATTCCCGAAAGGAAATAACAGTGTTGAGAATCAATTAATTAATAAAACAATTTTACAGGAACGAAGGGGTGTACTGCACATACACTGAAACAATGGTATTGTTAAAGGCATATTTGCGATATTTTTCTTACCATAACTAGGCCAGCTTGCTTATTATCTTTCTGCCTGATTATGTTGAGTTATCGCGCATGTGCTCCACTTTTAAGCTCTGGCGTTTCAATCGAGCTACTTTATTGTATAAAACAGGTAATTTCTAAGAGGTCTTATTGATTACATTTTGCGCGCGTGCGAAACCCCTTAAAACCGTCATTTATATACATTATCGTGGGGAAGCAACTTCCTTTTATCACGAGACGAAGTATTTTCTTGAAACTCTTTTCCACTGCCGAAATTTAATAATATTAAAATCTAGCGTTCCCTTCCAAATTGTGTAAAGCTATACATATTTATTTTAAGAACCTCGTTTCACCGCTCATTTAACGCTTTTTTTTCCTCCCCCACAAATTAGTTGACGAGATGAGTCGTGTTTTGACAATGAACATCATCATTAGGGTGTCTGGAATAGGCCTTCTGCTGCTGTACTTCCCCCCGTCATATCTCACCTCCATTCATCGAAAACCGGTCCCGAAGTGGCAACGAATTGCGTCGCAGGAGCTCACGTGTCACGCTATCGGATGTCGCAATCCTGGCGGTTGGGTGTACACGTTTTTGCAAAGAGTACGAGAGAACGGAAGTGTCGCTGTTGTCGCGGCGTCCCTAAAGCCCCTCTATCCTGGGAAAAGTGGCGCCATTCTTTGAAATAGCCGCCGCGCACACTATTGGCCAGTCGTCACGTGACACCTGGCTTTCGGTTTTGGACTTCCGGTCGTCATGAATTTCCCAAGATGTTGCTACGCCGCAGCTGACGGGCTGCTGCGCCCGTAAGAAAGTAGACCGGAAAGCTTTTCAGTGTTCCCTCTGGGACGGAAAATGAACCTCGGAGGAAGATCTTGCTTCACCGAATCGGTCGAAAAGATTTCAACCCGACGGGAGCCGCCGTAAAGTTATGCGAGGTAGGTGCTCTGTATACTCATTAGCGTGCAAAGAGACAGCTGTTTAGAGCGAGGTATGCCCTCCTTTCCACCGAAAGGGCGAGCGATGTAATAGCGAGCACAACATAGCCAACTTGGCATGCACGGACGCTCGTGCCGTGGAAGTAAAGGCACCTACGCACAGTTGCGTTTGAAAGCGCCTGACTACGTTGCGTCGGGAACCGAAAGCGAGTCAACGGCACATCTGTGCTTCGCATGAAGCTTGGAATCCAATTCAAGGAATAGACAGTTTGCAATATTACCCAAGCATGAAGGCGAATGCAGGGATTGGTGTTCCACGCGCCACACGTGCACGCCTTTCCCGTATGAAAGATTTGAAGTAAATAACCAAAGTAAAGGAATCTGGAGTTGGGCAAGTTGGTGCATCTTAGATTCGAAAAGCGCCAGAAAACAAGGACAACACAAGGAATAGACGAAACGATGCCCTCAACATTAAAACACTGTACACCAGGAATATTTACAGACAAGTGCATTTTCCCTCTTAGCCCAGAAACAAACAAAAAAATGCTGTACAGGCTCGGGTTTACCTTCTTTTGCAGAAGGCAGTTACAGATGGTTCGTAAAATACATGCTAGAAATGATCCAATAATAAAACAAAAATTCAAATGAGAGTGGTGCTTTGACGTTCTCTCAAAGCAAACCCAGCTTGCTAAAATGTTCCCCCTAATGAATCCGAACCAGACTATCCAGCCTTTGAGATTGGCGTTTTCTCCCACCTCATCCAGCGCATCGTTTCGTGTATTCCCTCTGTTGTCCTTGTTTTCTGGCGCTTTTCGGACCAAAGTAAAGCGTTGACGAACGCGCGTGCAAGATGCCATTTGTTTTAGGTATTTGTTTTAGAAAAGTTACTACTGCTGAGGCCAGCACGTGTGGTGCGTGGAACATCAATCCTTGCATTCTCCTTGATGCTGGGGTAATATACACGTTTGCAAGAAAGGCTCCTGTGCGCTGCCATTTTGAGCGATGCTGGCGCCCCGTACCGTTTCCGCCATGTTGGGCTGCGCCAGGGGCACGTCATTGGGGTGCGCTATGACAAGATGGTGCCGTTTGCTGCATCGCCGATGGCTTACGTTAGCGGCACACTTACTGTCTCGGAACGCAGGAGGATGTATCCACACAGAATCGTAGCGTCACATATTGTAGGACGGGGCATCTTTAAGGGTTGGAGCTGACTTTATAACGATCGCAGCCTCTGTTCCTGCATGTTGTGGAAGCCAGAGCTGCCGCGAGCGCAGCCATCGTTGATGCAAAGGCCATGCGACTTTTGGCGCATTCTGAAGAGAGCGCCTTGAGACTTTAGATCTTTATGAAAATTTTCGATTTGTTACCGCTTTAGGCATTTTATTTAATTGTCCTTGCTCTTTCGCTGTCGAAGACGACACGTGTACGTTTTATAATTATTTTTTTTTATTTCTTTCTGCGCTCAGTGGTGTACGCCTCGGCGAGAGACGCTTGGCAACATTGTACGACAACCAGCGAACGTCCTGGCTGGAGAGTAGGTCCGCCTCACCTTGGCGCGCGGTTCGAGGTTAAGCCGGGATCCCACTTGCAAAGGTATAAGGTATAAGGAGTATTCTCTGGTGGCCATAGCTGTGTGCGCGACTGCTGAGCCCGTGCTGACGCCGAGCTTCCACAGTTCTTCCGCCGCGTTCATTCCGCACCATCAAGAGTGCCGGTCTTAGCAGCCTATTAATGGGAGCTCGCTCTGAGCATGCGCTCTAAAGTGCACCCACAAATATGGCGTCCTATGAATACTTT